CATTAAGCTACCGATCACAAGAGCACTGATTGTTGGAAGATGCCAACTCAGAAGACTGCAGCGGATCAGGGCGATGACAACACCGAGTGTGTTTATTGTGCTCACCAGTGACACAAAGGCAGAGAGGAGGTGGGCTCTGAAGAGGAGTCCTGATGCTTTGTAGATGCTCAGGAACCACTGGTTGAGTGAGTGAATGAATGAATGAATGAATGAATGAATGAATGAATGAAAAGTCAAGATTTAAAGAGCTTTCAATAGGCTAAATTATAGGTCAAAACTCCAGATGCAATAGAAAGGGGATACATATTAAGCTTTGCCAAATGGCGGACATCTTACCTCATAGAAATAAACGCAACAAGGATTTAGGAGATGTCTCAAGGACAAGCTTAACAGATAACCATATGGTGTGACCTAAGCAAGATAGACTTCAGCCATGTTATGAAGGTCAGAGAAGAAAGAGACCCCCCGGAGCTGGCCATGGCCAAGCCTCATGGTGCCGTGCCCTGTCTTCTTCGGTGTTTGGACAATGCTCCCAGTAGCACCTCCACTGATGCTCTGGGTGGTGCAAAGGCAGAACACCAGTGAGAGTCTGGAAACTCTGCCACAGGGGAAGCAACTCAGGGGACTGATCATTCTTAGTCTGGAAAAAGAAAGAAGACTTATTGGGGGGGGCATGAGAGGGGACTTGGACTATGTAAAATCTGAAGGGCCATCAAGTAGACGATGAATTAGCTTTATTATTAAACTGAGCAAGTACTTATTGAATGTCTCTATTTACAAAGTACTCATTTGACAAATATTGACTGCTCACTGCTTCTGTGCCAGGCGCTGTCCTAGATGCTGGGGCAAGGCTCTCTGCCTTCATGAAGCTGACATTGAATGCATAATGGGAAAGACAGCCAATACACAAGAAAACAGAGAATAATTTCTGGAAGGATGAAAGTGTACGTGATGTGTGCCTCACACACTTGCCTTCAGATCTAGTAGGATATGCTTATTCTTTGTTGTTCCATTAATGAGATAAAGATAGACTGTATTTCAATAAAAGGAAGAAATTTCTCCCAATAGAGCATGAACTCTGTCAAAAAGTAGTGGATTCTATCATCGGGAACGTGAAAACCAAAACCTGCGTGGCCATCTTTCAGGGCTGTTGTGGGGAATCGCTAAGTATGAGTTAAAAATGGATCAGTGGTCCCAAGAGCTTTGGATTTCCTAGACCAGTACAATTGAAAACATGGCAGGTAGCAACACAGGATCACCAAGTTTTTATATTCCTAAGTACATTAATAGAAACCCTACTATTATTAACATCTTCTCATTAAAGAAATGTCATTTTTTAGGGGCTTACAAAAAAAGAATGACACAATATCAGAATAAAAAGTTCTGTAAGTAAATTTGGTTATATCAAAATTTCATAACATTGGCCTTACTTTTCTAATTTTGCAACAGACCATCAAAAATCTCATCTTCAGCCTGAAATAGTCCAGAGCCTGGAATTTGAAAACAGAACCAGATGACCTTGAAATTCTTCCTAATAGTTTTCCAATGATTATGCACTACCAAAATGCAGTACATTTGTTTAAGCGTGGGGTTTTGGAGCTGATGTCTGTTAATTTAAAGCCATGGCTCAAACCAGCCACAGGAAAGCTATTTAACTTTCAGTTTCGACCCCCGTGACACCGGGAATAATAACATTACTGACTTGTGGTGCTATGAGAATTCACTGAGGGGCACCTGGGGGGCTCAGTTGGTTGAGCATCTGACTCTTGGATCCGGCTTAGGTTATGATCTCAGGGTCGTGAGATCAAGCCTGGTGAGCACAATAAACACACTCCGCACTGGGCGTGGAGCCTGCTTCGGATTCTCTCTCCCCCTCTCCCTCTGCCCCTTCCTCCCACCGCTCACCCCTACTTGCACATGCACACTCTGTCTCTCTTAAAAAAAAAAAAAATTTAAAAAAAGAAAGAAAAGAAACAGATTGCCTTCTTTAGCATGTAATACTTGAAACCCTGGCCCCTATTGCCAGGGAAGTAGACAAGCATCACAGTTGGTTCCTAAAAGGATGGTTTTCTCTTCCTCCTCCACATTATTCATTTCCCTAAGGTCCTCCTTCTGCCTTCTGCTGCCTACCTTCTCTAGCACCTACTGGCTTCTCCAGTGAATGCCTGACCCCTTACTACTTTTTTTCTTGCCTCTTAGAGCCTCTTCCCTATCCTTTATTTTTTTCTTTTTCTGCTTTATTTTAGTTGGTCGAGTTTGTGGTAGTTGGTGGAGCCTCCTACATTTTCTCTCCCACCTGCCTGCTTGCTCCCCAGTCTACCAGTGGTACGGCTTCCCCTCAGGTCTTCCCCGCCCTGCCTGCTGCCATCCCCAGCGTGGCCAACAGGGTGAGCAAGCTTCCAGAGTAAATCAACAACTCTTGCTTCATTTCTTTGGCAGGCAATGGAACATGTCTGAACGCTGAGGAAATGTAGGTTCTTAGGTCTGTGAGTTCAAGTCGGAAAGCTAAGTAACACACAAGATGACTTACGTTTGAAAGCTGAGCCACCAGTCAACTCTCCGAGGCTCATGCTTTGTGACAATGCCCTGCAGTGTCTACTCAAAAGGATGCGTTGTTCTAACAATAGCTAATGCTTCTCTTGTTTGGTGAGGAAGTGATACTGCGTTGTTATTAACAGTGATCGGATTTAAGTCCTGGACAGGTGCTGAGCACCCTAGAATTCAAGAACTCGATTCGTCAGCAGCAATAAATTTAGACAGAAAGGTGCCGAAATAAGGTCTTCCTACACGGGTCTTAACCGAGAGACGTCAGTGGAGTGTCTAGGATTTGGCATTTGCGTAAATTAAAATGTGCTGAATATGTCCTGCATTACTTTTTATTAATGCCTATGTCAGTCCCACATTTAGGACTTATTAGTTCAAAATGTGGCTGGGCACGCTAGAAGAATAAAAGCGTGGTGTGGTATAATTCTTGAACACAGTCCAATGGATAAAAAAACTGGTCCCCAAGTTAGGACATTCAGGCTCATGTTGAGATTTCTTATTATAGACATGGGTTATGTATAACTGATTCTCAGGATTTTAATAGATAAGTGGAAGTTTCTCCCTGTCTGAGATACTGCTAGTTTTTATTCATGCCCTCTAATTTTCCTTTTCTTTTAAATTTTCTCCATAAAAAGTAGGTCACATGTGACTTTGCGGGATACTGTAAGACCTTTTGCTTTCATCCTTAGTGAAATGGGAGCCAGTGGAGTGTTGGGAGCAAAGGGGAGAGAGGATCTGCCTTACCTTTTAAACAGGATCTCTCTCATTCCTGTGTGGGGAATCAGAGCAAAAAAGGAAGACTATTTAATAGGCAATGGCAATAACAGACCCTTTATATGTAAATAAATTGATGTCCTATGATATTAAAAAGTTTCCATTTTAAGTCAACTCTTCTGTCCCCAAGTACCAAAAACAGACAAGTAGTTTTTGGCGATCAGCTAAGCCGTGCATTCTCACCCAGTTATGAGTTATCAATGCCACATCGTTATATATAACATATTTGATTCATAAAATTAGTATGTGCACAAATCTTTTAAATTCTGAATTCTCCCTCTCTCTTTTTAAAAAGATTTTATTTATTTGACAGAGAGAGAGACAGTGAGGGAGGGAACACAGGCAGGGGGAGTGGGAGAGGGAGAAGCAGGCTTCCTGCGGAGCAGGGAGCCCGATGCGGGGCTCGATCTCAGGCCCCTGGGATCATGACCTGAGCCGAAGGCAGACATTTAACGACTGAGCCACCCAGGTGCCTCCTAAATTCTCATTTATAGAGAAGTTCTAATACTAGAAAAATATCCTACGAGTAAATAGGCTCATTATTTATGTGCAACAAAACTTAGGAATAAGCACATTTATCACAGCAAGTTTGTGATGGCAGAAAACTGGAAATAGTATAAATATTCAATTAAGAACATTCTGACAGACACCCAGAATTGACAAATTGAAGGCAATCAAAATGTTATTGTAGAAGAATACCTAGTAATCCAGAAAGCTGCCCTCAATGTTTGGCTAAGTGAGAAAAATTTCTTAAATAGGGTATAGAACAATATGTATACAGTGTATTTGCAGAGGGAAACAAGAAATATTTAAATGTTAATGGTAGTTTTTCTCTGTGTGATGGCATTACAATGGTTCTTTTATTTTTTGAATTATTTCAGTTTTCTAAAATGTCTACAGTGAATGTTTATTACATTTGTAGTAAATATAAAATGAAAAAAAGTAATGCATATATTAAACCCAGTTCTGTATAATACCAGTGTTTCTCAACTGTGGGGAGTGGCTGGAGTTCCAAAGATATTTTCAAAGTGGTCCATGACTACCACTATGAGAATTTTTAGTGTGGTGTTTTCATTAAGATGACAACCTTAACATAATGATAGAGACATAGTTTGGATCATCTGGATGATCATGGTATCTTAGAGATGACCAGTGCCCATATTTGCATTTAGTTTTATGTCTGCAAGGTTGACAAGTGCTACCACTCTAATTCTCACAGACTAACGAGAAAAGAAACAGAATCAAATGTAATAGGTGATGTATTTGCAGTTGGTAAAGGCCACAGCCCACTGCACAAATTAGGGTTTGCAGAATTTCCAATAGAGAAAGTCCTGGGGAATACCAGGCATGCCAAACTCAAAAGAACTTGTGTCATGGGGCGCCTGGGTGGCTCAGTCGTCAGGCGTCTGCCTTCAGCTCAGGTCATGATCCCGGGGTCCTGGGATGGAGCCCCTGCGTCTGGCTCCCTGCTCGGCGCGGAGTCCGCTTCTCTGCCCCTCCCCCTGCTCCTGTGTGAGTGCACGTGCACGCTCTCTCTCAAATAAATAAGTAAAATCTTTTAAAAAATAAATAAAATAGGGGCGCCTGGGTGGCTCAGTCGGTTAAGCGTCTGCCTTCGGCTCAGGTCATGATCCCAGGGTCCTGGGATCGAGCCCCACATCGGGCTCCCTGCTCGGCGGGAAGCCTGCTTCTCCCTCTCCCACTCCCCCTGCTTGTGTTCCCTCTCTCACTGTGCCTCTGTCAAATAAAAAAAAAAAAAAGAAGAAGTTGTGTCAGCATTCATTATCCAATTCACAAAGTGATCAGTGATTAAACTGTAGCAAAGAGTATCATCAGTCACACTAAATGAACCAGCGTTTTATAGCGGTTGTTTTTAGTTTTTATTGTATTTAATGTTTTGGCCTATGTGAAAGCAATAAGCACAGGGATTTTGTGCCTATTTATTTAATTTTCTGGTGCCAATTTTAAATTCAGTTTTATTTCTTTTATTTTTATATTTTATTATTATTTTATTTATTTCAGTTTTATTCCTGAGCTCTTATCCATAGAAGAGACACTGAGGATGCCATTAGCATCAATATCAAAGGTGACTTCAACAGAAGGAGCACCACGGGGGGCAGGAGGTATGCCTATGAGTTCAAACTTGCCAAGTAGGTGGTGGTGGTTGTTGTTGTTTTTAAGATTTTATTTATTTATTTGACAGAGAGACATAGCGAGAGCAGGAACACAAGCAGCGGGAGGGGGAGAGGGAGAAGCAGGCTTCCCCCCAGGAGGGAGCCTGATGTGGGGCTCGATCCCAGGACCCTGGGATCATGACCTGAGCCGAAGGCAGACGCTTAACGACTGAGCCACCCAGGCACCCCAAGTAGGTTGTTATCCATGGTTATGGCACGCTCACCTTCATAAACCTGAACGAGCACACCAGGCTGGTTGTCAGAGTAGGTAGGGAAGGTCTGCATCTGTTTGGTAGGAATGGTAGTATTGCACTTGGTGAGGACAGTCATGACTCCTCCAGCAGTTTCAAAGCCAAGAGAAAGAGGAGTGACATCCAACAGCAGGGAATCCTGAACATTTTCAGACTTGTCTCCAGAAGGGATGGCTGTCTGGACAGCTGCACCATAAGCAACAGCCTCATCAGGGCTGATGCTCTTGTTCAGTTCCTTTCCATTGAAGAAGTCTTGCAGAAGTTTCTGAATCTTGGGGATATGGATAGAACCACCCACCAGGACAATATTATTGATCTGACACTTGTGTAGCTTGGCATCCCAAAGGGCTTTCTCTATAAGGTCCAGGGTGCCACAGAACAGGTCAGCATTTAATTCTTCAAATCGGGGACAAGTCATAGAGGTATGGAAGTCAATTCCTTCATACAGAGCATCAATCTCAATACTGGCCTCGTTGCTGGAAGACAATGTATGCTTAGCACACTCGTAAGCAGTCTGGAGGTGATGGACTGCCCTCTTGTTCTTGTGGATGTCCTTCTTATGTTTGCACTTGAACTTCACAATAAAATGGTTGACCATTCGGTTGTCAAAGTCTTCTACACCTAAGTGGGTGTCTCCAGCTGTAGATTTGACCTTAAATATCCCATTTCAATGGTGGGGATTGAGACATCAAAAGTGCCACCTCCTACGTCAAAGATGAGCACATTCCTTTCAGCGCCAACCTTTCTGTCTAAGCCCCTGTGATTTCCTTCATCTTTGTCAAAACCACAGAGGACACCTCTTCTTTCCCTTGTATTTTACTTAGACCTTGGGCCTGCCAGCATCAGTCCCCACCATGAAGAGCCAATGCTCCATATCAGATTGGACAAGAGCATCATCGACTTTATGTCCGATCAGGCATTTGACATCAAAAACTGTGTTGGTGGGGTTCACTGCAACTTCGTTCTTTGCAGCATTGCTGATCAATCGTTTGATGTCAGTAAAAGTGACAGCTTGGGGTGGTTTAGTTTCCCTGATCGTTGGCAATTATTTCCACTTTCCCGTGCTGGAAGACACCCACACAATAGGAGGTGGTGCCAAGATCAATGCCAACTGCAGGTCCCTTAGATGTAGCGCTTCCATGTGGGCCTTGTGCAGCTTGCAAAGAAAACAGCAATCTGGAGAGCTAGCATGTCGTTCAATGAGATCCTGTGCCTACTGAGTTTTGTGTTGTATTCACTTAAGTAGCATACTGTGAAAAATATTAAATTGAAGTCTAGAAAAATCTTTGTCTTTTTTGAAGTGTCTGCATACTGCCCAGGTTTGATAAGCACTGTTCTAGAACAAAAAAATGCTCCCCACACATGAACACGGTACCTTTAGAAGCTACATAAACTCAGGACGCTAAGCTGTCACTTCATCTTATGCACTGATGCTCCTAACACCATGTCACAAACAGAGAAAGGGATCCAGTTCCACAAGTTGGGTGCTGTATTATTTGGAACCTCAAATACATTTTTTTTACTCATGGAAATTACATTAAAAACCATGTTAGGATCCCAGATCAGTTGACCAAAGCCCTTCTATTTATTTTTTAAAGATTTTATTTCTTTATTTGAGAGAGAGAGAGAAAGAGAAAGAGCATGAGAGAGATCACGAGCAGGAGGGAGAGGTAGACGGAGAAGCAGACTCCCGTTGAGCAGGAAGCCCGATGCAGGGGCTCCATCCCAGGAACCTGGGATCACGACCTGAGCCAAAGGCAGAAGCTTAACCGAATGAGCCACCCAGGCGCCCGATCAAAGCCTTTTTAATATAAAATGTTCCTGGGCCAGGAAGAATGATGTGTCCTGGAGTACATTTTAAAAGACAAGTTTTCCTTTCCTTTTTCATTAGACCAGGAAACATTTTATAGCAGAGGTTTGGGGCTACCTGTCCTTATCTTCTGCTTCATTCTAGCTCTACCTCTTCCCCAAATCTAGCAATTCTTCTCTCTAAAAGTATTTCCTGCTGCAAAACAAGTGCGCTCAGACATAGAATTGCCCAAAGTTTACAAACAGCTCCACCGGGCCTATCTTCCTGACTCCTCATATCACAGCAGCCTGATAAATAAGCATTAAAATTCTCATTTTGTAGATAGCAAAACAGTTTCAGAGAGGTTAAGTGGTGTTCCCGTGGTCAAACAGCTAGTAACAAAATAGGCCTGAAGTAAAGTGTTTGATTCCAATTCCCTGAGTTTTTCCCTCCAATCTCTGATAATAACAACTATTTTCCTTTCCCAGATCATTAGGAGGGAAAAATGTTTAATTAACAAAAATTGTTTCAAATGGCTAATAACCACTTAACTCTCTGAGATATCTGCATTTTCAAAGCAGAGTGCCAAGCTGCCTAAATCTATAACATGGAGAACTGCAGGAAAGGTGTATTTGTTTCCTAGGGTTGCAAATTACCACAAACTCTGTGGTTTAAAACAACAGAAATGCATTCTCTCACTGCTCTGAAAGCTAGGGGTCTGAAATCAAGGTGTTGGCAGGGTTGGTTTCTTCTGGAGGCTCCAGGGGACAGTCCCCTTCTCAGCCGGCCATCCTTGTTGTGTCTTGGCTCGTAGACACAGCACTCCAATCCCTGCCACCACGTTTCTCCCCCTCTCCTCCTCTTGCCTCTCCTCCCCTTGCCTCTCTTCTCCTCTTCTCAGGACACTTGTCATTGGACTTGGAGCTCACCCTAGTCCAGAATGATCTTACCCTGAGATCTTCAACTTAATTATATTTACAAAGACCCTTTTACCAAATAAAGTCCCATTCACAGGTACTGGATGGATTTATCTTTGGGGGAGGGGCACAGTTCAAAGCACTACACAAGGGCAATTGCAAAGTGAACTTTCTCGTTCATGGAATACCGAGTATCCCACCCATTATCTCCTAGCCAGAAACAAACATCCTATATCTGGAAATTTCCTCCAGGCTCTGGATTCCACCTCTAGTCATTGGTTTCCCATATTTCTGCCTAAAATGGGAGTTTCCCTCTTCTTTGCCCATTCATACGATCACCTCCACTGAGACGGCTGCCTGGCTTTCACTGATTTCTCTACCTGGCCTGGTCTTCCATTCTCCTTAGCATTTACTAAAGCCCACTGAGTCCAGGCTTCCAGGAAAGCTCATTCCCTACCCCCTCTCATCCTCAACTACCATTTTTCTTGGACCAGAATGCAAACAGCGGGGAGACATGATTGGTTGTTCTTAGAGGTGAAGGCAGCCTGACCCTGCCTGGGAGTCAGTGTCTCTCATTAGTTCCTGACAGGTGATGCTTTTCATTGCTTCTTCCTCTTGCCCCTGCCCTCACATCAGCATTGACTCCTATGGCCCAGAAATCCCAGGGCATTTTCCACACCCCACTGCAGGTAGGGGAGCCCTGGGCTAAGGCTCCTGTGTCTACTATCCCATAGCAGTGGGGGGACAAGGTGGTACTGGCCATACTCAAGAAAAAAAAAAAAAAGACCAATATTTGTAAGAAAAGAAAGGCTTCCTTCTGCTTCAGACCCTGTTCTCTGTGACAGACGGTGCTCCTTAAAATATACCCTCCACTTAAATCAACTGAGCCACCCAGGCATATGCTAAGTGAAATAAGTCAATCAGAAAAAGACAATTATCATATGGTTTCACTCATATATGGAATATAAGGAAACCACAGAGGATCATAGGGACAGGGAGGGAAAACTGAAGGGCAAGAAATAAGAGAGGGAGACAAACAATGAGAGACTCGGAACTCCAGGAAACAAACTGAGGGTCGCTGAAGGGGTGGTGGGTGGGAGATGGGGCAACTGGGTGATGGGCATTAAGGAGGGCACGTAATGTGATGAGCACTGGGTGTTACACTCAACTAATGAATCAATGAACATCACATCAAAAACTTATGACTGGGTGTTATATTCAAACAATGAATCATGAAACACTACATCAAAAACCAATGATGTAATGTACAATGATTAACATAACATAATAAAAAATAAATAAAACAAAAACTTATGATTTGTTATATGTTGGCTAATTGAATTTAAATAAATAAATTATATAATTATATATATGTATATACAATTTGTATATTATATACATTTTATATATAAATATATATCATATAATTATATAATTTATAATTTAACATATAAGATAATTATATTATATACAATTCTATATAACATATAAAATAATATATATAATTATATATATTATATATTATATAAATATATATCTCCTCCCCTGACCACCCAAATGAGAAACACCCCTAATAGTGGTTAAACATGCACCCTTCTAAGCCCGATTCTAGGCCACTATAACAGAACCTCTGGGAAAGGACCCAGAACTCTGTTTTTTAGCAAGTTTCCCAGTGGTCCTCCCACAGGCTAGGTTCTGAGAACCATCTCCCAGTATAATCACAAGTAAACAGCACAGCGTGCTTCTCAGCATGAAATTAGGCAAAGCTGTTCCCTCACAGAGCCCTTCCTGCAGCACAACACTGCCCATAGGTTCGCATCAGACCCTCACAGCCCCAGAATCACCTTTCCTCCTCCATCCTTCCCACCTGGGCAGGAACCAGCCCACTGTCTTCTCTCTTTCTGCTTCGTGTTTGGGGAATGTATCTCCCATCCCTACTACTGGGCCATTGCCAGTGCTCCCAAGGGTCTCCTTACAGTCTGAATTCTGGAAAGAACATTGAGATTTGGGTGCCTTTCCCCACCAGCTCTCATTGTCCAAGGTATTAAGAAGCGCACAGAGAAAAAAAGCACAGCAAGAGACCCCCCCCCCCAAAGCTTTCCCCAGGAGGGCGTGTGCCTGCTTGAGTCTGACTTGAGGTGTGCAGGAGGCTGGCCCGGGCTGCCCCCAGTGGGATCGGATGAGTTTCAAAGTCACTCGTGAACCGTGCAAGCGCAAGTAGTTGGTGTTAAGTTCATTTCTGCCCTAAGATTTCCTGTAAGCTTTCCGAATCCACCACAACCATTAACACATCTTTAGTTACGTGGCAAACGTGGCATCTGAAAAGCTCAAGTAGCAGAAGTTTGAGTACAAAACCCTAAAGAGCTGGATTCCCAAAAGAGCTGGATTCAGCTCACCAACCAGCATATGGTTACCAAGCACTTATTATGTGCGAAGAAAAATATTTTACCTGTGTGTTGTATGGCTAGATGTGTGTGTGTGTGTGTGTGTTGTGATAAAAAATAATTCTGCAAGGCCCGACTGCTGGGTAGTTCTCGACCTTGGATATTTAGCTTTTCCAAGGCCTGCTGGCTAGATTCTGGTTAGTGGGATGTGTCATCAAAGGGTGGAATCGCGAATATATTTTTCATTCCTATCTACCCTTACCTGCTCACACACTATTTAAAATAGAGCTTCACACAAAGTGAGTTATTAACAGTAGCAAAAGTTTGGCATGCACAAAAAAGTTTACCAAAAACTCCCAAGATCACTGTACAGTACTGTACAGAGAGCAAGTGTTCTGGGCCTCTGAGGTGGGGACTGGCCACTTGGCATTTGTGTTTTGGGGCAGGGTACAGGGTGGGGGGAGGTCTAAGCATAGAGCAGGTGATTTGCAAGAGGAATGGGATTTCTCTTTTGGTCACAGACCATGCTGCTTGAAATATCAATCTTTATAATTTCATAACCATTAAGTATTTGTATCTAAGGTGCTATATAAAGATAATTTGTTATAAAGTAAGTACTTAAGTATATTTTTGTTTATGTTATTTGGGATCTGCTTATTAAAGCTGTTCTTAAAACCCTACTCTTGTCAACATTTACCCTGCGGCCAGGTCTAGAGTACTGTACTAGCTATATATTCAATTCTTAAATGTGGGCTGGAATAAAAATTATTCTAGAAATGTAGTATAATCCACAAAATAAATATACTTTTAATACAGTTCAGAAAATGAGTTCCTTGTGATAACTGGGTGATGGGCATTTAAGGAGGGCATGTGATGTGATCAGCACTGGGCGTTATACACAACTAAGGAATCATTGAAC